TTTTTTTTAAATTTGTCTAATAGCATATTGAGTATTGGGTCAAATTGGTAATTGAAACTACCCGTCGAGTCAGATCAACTCGTCGATTGTTTGGATGATAAGGCATAGTCTTCCACCTCTGTGCTTTGCAAACATGTAAGGGTATACCAGTATTTTAGGATAACTAGCTAACCTCAAACTAGAATCTGAATGGGCTAGGTCGATGGATCGAGATGGCGGGTTCCCCTTTAGCGTGATTCCGAGGTGTCCATCATTCACAATGAAAAGGTCTTTTGATCGTCATCCGTGATGGAGGGATGGATTGCGTACAATCCCCTCTTGGTATGTTATATTTGAAGACGAGAGGGTTTGTCCATTGGGCGTCCTCGCAAACTAGTAAATAAGTTAACTTCGTGTACTTGGGGCTTTGAACCCTTATGTACATATTATGACGCTTTTCTTGAGGGTTGTGACCATATGTTTGTTATTTGTAATTATGTGATGGTCATACGAAGTAATAAGGTTGAAAAACTAGGTCAAGTCGCGGCCCTAATTAAGGACTAGCGGAGTTTTCTTCGTGATGTGTTCATCACAATTATTTGAGAATAAAAATGAGACATAAAGACTTACGTGTGTGAGTTGTCTATATGTGATATTTGACACTCCTTTCGATTTATCTTCTTTAAATAATTTTGTGGTATTTACTCGTGAATCATGGCATATATAATATTGATTTACCTTTGATTAATTGCGCTTACTCAACCGTAGTGTTTACTCTTTATCTACAAACCTTTTTGTAGGTGACGGTGCTTCCGTTATACCTAAATGATGCATCCGCGTCATATGATCCATCGGGGGAAATTAGTACTACTTTATCTTCTAGAATGCTTTTGAGATCAATTATTAATGTTTAAGAACTAATACATTTTGAACTGATTTCCGACTTATTCTTTTGACTCGAAAATTATTTATTTAAATTATAAGCCCGTGTGCTTTTATTTTAAATCTATAATTAGTTGCGTGTAGTAGTTATTTTAGCCTTAGCGCCACAACGTAAGGCTCGTTGGTTGATGAATGAGCCTTCCGGCATGGTGTGGCGGTGACACTTCGATTTGAGCCGACCGGAATGTTACAGTTGGTATCTGAGCGTGTTTATGTGCATTGGTTATGCTATTTGATTAGTTAGAGTCTATTAGGTCTAGTCTTGATTAGCATAGGCCCCCTAGGTGTGCTCGTCAGCCTTTAGCGGCATCTGAGTCGGATGAAGGGGTTGAGAGTAAACAATCCCAAAATCCTGAGCCTCCAGTTCAGAATCCCGTTCGACCTTCAGACCCGACATTGGAGATCTTTCCTCACTTTATGAGACAGTTCACTCAACAGCCGCGGAGTGCTATGGATGAAGTGTTACGTCATAGTCCTCCGACTTTCACTGGTCAATCGGACCCGACTATTTTGGGAGAATTGTTGGATCATTTGAAGACAATATTTGAGATGGTAAGATGCCCAGAATGAGAGAAGACTGATAGCCGTGTATTACTTGGAAAGATTGGCCAAAAAGTGCTGGAATAATGAGAAGACTTCCGGGAGCAACTTGGTTGGATTACCGTGAGAGGCCTTTAAATGGATGATAAGGGCGCGTTTTTATCCCCCACACCTCCAGAGAGCAAAGGAGGATGAGTTTAGTGCCTTGGTGCAAGATAATATAACGGTGGAGGAGCACTTCACGCGTTTTAACGAATTGGCTACCTATGCTCCGGATTTGGCGGTGAATGATCGATGCAAGTTGACAAGGTTTTTTGCGGGCTAAACCGAGACCTTCAACGGTTCTTGGCCGGCTTCAGTGTGACGACCCTTCAGGAGTCATATGAGAAGACGGCTAACATCTATCGGGCAAATCAAATATCGTATGATGAACGGAGGAATGGAATCCGCAAGGCAGATAGAAGAAAAAGGGAAGTTGAAGGAAGGGTTGAAGAACCATCAATGAAATGATCAAAGAGAAGTTCTCAGGTGCACCTTATGCATCTCGCCCTAAATTCACTCCTAGGAATTCGAGTGGCAATCACAGTGGTCTGACTGTTTGTAGCCGATGTGGGAAGTCTCATCCTAGAGTTTGTTGTGATGGCCAGTCCGTCGCTATTAATGCCATGAGCCGGGATATGTCAAGAGGTTCTATGTTAGTTAGAGCTCCGAATACGATTGAGAGGGCTCCAGTTCCACAGCATCAAGGTCGTACACAGCCAGTGGTTGATTGTTAATTAATCAAGTGTTATGGTTGATTTTTTTTTTTACTTCCGGGTAGAATGTACATTGAGATAGAACTCCGTTGAAATTTCACAGTATTTTTTTAGGTTTTTGAAGTTTTGATAGTAGAATTTTTAGTTGAAATATTTGTTTGATATGATATGAATAAGTGTTATATCATTTTTAAAATGTACAATTAAATTTTAGTATAATATAAAAAATAAAAATAAAAATTTGATTTGATATATTTAAAAAAAAAATTGTTAGAAATAATATAAATCTTTTAAACTTCTCCAAACAAATACACCGTTATTAAAGAACCCTTATATTTATTTGATGCATATATGGCAATATTGAACAAGGACCTGTGCTTGAGATTTTATGGTTTCTTCTTGATGTGGTAAAAGGCATAGCAGGATATACCCGTTGTAGCTAAGTTTGTAAGAATTTGGATTTTCAAGTCTTTTGTTTACATGCATTTAGACATGTGGACGCACATGTATTGCAAATTGATTAAAATTATTGTTGTAATATAAATTGAGGACTAAACTATCATGATCAAATTTTTTGTTTTTTGGAGTCCTGATTATCTAAAATAGGTGTGAGGATTTTTTCTTATAATATGTGTAGAATTCCCATAAATTAATTACTAATTATTTGGGATTTAATTAGCTATTTACACTAATTAGTAATTACATTATAATTAGCAATCAAGGCTAATTAGTAATTATATTATAAAAACTAATCAATGGAGACGTAACTAGAAATTATAATTTGGATTAATGGCTAATTAGTGATGGGTTTGATTAGCAATTAATTCATTAAATTTAATTGAGTATGGTCCCTAATTGAGATACGAACAAACGGAAAGAATCGTAACTTTTTCTTTGGTTACTTTGACCGGAATATTAAAAATTCATTATAAATAGGTTTCCCATGGTGTTCTAAGTTCGTACCATCAATTAGAAGTTCTCTCTACCCAATTTCGTTAGTCTTTTTCTAGCAAAATTAACCTAACCTTTCAAGATTCACTTTTTAATACTGATATGGAGAATACATATAGTGCCTAAGCCATTATTCTTAAGGACAATTAGGGTAGCTAGGTTTGTTGTACATAAACCTGTTAAACGAATCGAGTAACTCGCGAGCCAAGCTCAACTCGGCTTGTTAATAACTCGACTCGGCTCTATAAACAAGCCAAGCTCGAGCTCCAAAATTATTTTTTCCACAAACAAGCCGAGCTCGAGCTCGGCTCGCGAGTAGCTCACTTGAGCTAGTTAGTGATAATATATTTATATTATTTATATAGTAATATAATATATATAATTTTTTATATCAAAATTTATATTTATTATTAAAATTTAAATATTTTATTATAAAAAATTATGAATAAAATTAAATATATTTAATTTATATATTAAAATATATACATAATATCTATAAAATTCAAATTGAGCTCGAGTTTGAGTCTTACGAGCCGAGCTCGAGCTTGAATTTGAGCCTAACGAGACGAGCTTGAGGCACTATTTTAACTCGAATTCTTAACGAGTCGAGCCGAGCCTATACCGTTAGCAAGTTCGAGTCGAGCTGAAACAACCAATACTCGAGCTCGCTCGGCTCGTTTAACGGCTCTACATCAGTTACTAGAATTATTGTTTACAGGTTATGGATTTGAGTTTTTGAAATCTCAACTTAGACATGGGAATGGAGAGTTGGCATTCTCTACTTTTAAATAACCCTATATTTGGTTTCACAATCAATATAATATAACTTAAGCACCTCCTGAAAATTGATGGTATACATTTGTGTCAGGGCATCATGACTTCAATGCCAATTTAAGCTAAAGTAGGTTGAAATTATACCTAGGAACAATTAAAAATGAGCATATTATGTTGCCTGTTCAAGCAGCTTCATAAAGCCTGCTGTCCATTGTCAAGCCTTGTAAGCTTGTATTGATTGTCTGGTTCAAATTTAAGAATGGTTTGCAGATCAACTTCCTGGCTGCTGCTGCTGCTTCTGATTTTGGAGAGCACTGATTCATCTTTCTCTTCAAGGGTTTGCTGCATGCTATACCTATTCTTGATTAGATTTTGTAGACACATTGCTTTGCTCTGTATTGGGCTTCAGATAAAGGTACTTTTCCTTCTAATAGATTATTGAATTTCGTTTTCCCATTTAGGGTTGGCAAAAGAATCGAACCGAACTGAAGCAAACTGAATTTTCGGTTAATCAAGAAAATTCAATTGGAATACAAATGCTGCATATTTGACATTTGTTAGGTTCGGTTTGATTCAATTTTGATTTTTTATATTTGTTTTGATTTGGTTAACCGAACGAATATATTTATATTATTATATTTTAAAATTTATATTAATAATCGATTTGATTTAGTGTCGGATATTTGAAATATTTGCAAATATTTTTATTTAATTAGAATTTTAATTATTTTTAATGTGTTTTTTTTAAATTTTGGTTCGATTTGAATTATTTGCAAATATTGCAAAGAAATACTCGAAATGGCAAACTAAACCGAAATTTTCGGCTTCGGATACGGTTTGCGGTTTCGGATATTTATTTGATTCGGTTCGTATATCAAATATCTGCATGCATCCAAATAACCGAACTGTCCATCCCTATTCCCATTTATAACTAAGATATACTCCATTATGCAGTAATGGCTGGAAGCATGATTCTCAACTAGTATAATTTATGATCTATCTTTCTACCAGAACAATTTAAGTAAATAAGTTTGTATGCTGGTAAAACTAATTTAACTAGTTTGATTACCAAAGTGCAGTTCAAGATTACAAGACTGGAATCTTACAATCCAATCCACACAAGGCGCTTATTAAATAACTGCAGTCATATAGTATTTATATGTCGAAATTTTCTAGACTTGGTTCATTTGTTCGGCTCTGGTTACCTCTTCCCTTGCACAGAACACCGACCTGTACACCTTTACAGAAGCTAGAATTGGCAGTGGTAGTGTCAAGGCAACAAGGAACAGGATGTAGAACGACGTCTCAGGGAGGTGGATTAACATGGACACAAAATATGACGTGCCCAGTGCCACCATGCACACTCGTACCTCTCTCTGTAGAGGGAACCCTTTGATGAGAATGTTAATGATATACAGGCACGACATCAGAGCTAGTGTGTTGAAGATCAAGAACACAATCAGTGCGTATTCGAGAAACCCTTCAAAGACTATGAGCTTCCTGATACCCACATCACTAGCTTCATCTCTTCTATTTTTCCGAATTTTTGGAGGCGTGAGCCCAGCCTGAAATGTTGAGGTTGTGATCAATGTGGCGATGAGGAGAAGAATGTTTCTGACTTTGTCTGGATTGTCTCTCCCGGGGTTGAATTTGAATTGGGACAAGTAAGAAGATCCTTTTAGATCCACATCCACTGCAGGTGAGGCGGATAATATGTCGTTATCTGTTCGTTGCCTTTGTATTTCTTCTGTGGCTCTCAGCCCTCCAGCCTTGGCTAATATGTTGTGTATTGCAATGTCGCCTGATTCACTCGGTCCCGTGTGCAGCATGTCAAGCGGCGTATTGCCCATTCCATTCATCGAATTCACTTCAATCCCTCTACTGCTACTTCCCCTCACCAAAAGATCAACCACCTAATGCAGCCAGCAGGTATATTATTGTGACCGATTAGGATTAATGATCGAATAACAAATAAAAATGTAAAGAAGACACAAATTTATATTGGTTCATGAGCAACGAGTTAACTAGCAGAAACGGAGAACAAATTTATTCACTACAAAAAAAAATAGTATATTTGTAATGGAATTCGGTTCTTAAAGTTCACGTAGCTAACGTAATTCCATCTCTAATTCTGTCTCTAATATCATTAGTAACGGAAAAAAGTGAATTTAGGAACGAAAAACACTCGTTACAAAATTGATAATTTCTTGTAGTGATTGAGGACCGCTACACCAAGAGAATACATCAGACGGGCTCAACCCAATACCAACTCCAAAGCCCAATACTGTATACGGTCGGGTCGGGGGCCACTCCATGCCCCCGGACCCCAGGTAAGGAGGACTTCCCCCCTTGACCCCCGACTCGCTGACCGGGCAGCGAAATCCAGTGAAAACTCAACGAAGTGGTAAACTAGATTTAAGGCATGTCATCAACATACATATTGTTCGAATCCAATGCTTAATTAATTTGTTGCAATATGTATACATATACATGTGTGATTTAAATTAGAGCCTCTAACCTCATGTTGCTTCTTTGCAGCAGCAAGATGCAAAACAGTGTCTCCGTGTTCATCTTTCCAGTTGATCACATCAAATTTCTCCGCCTGCTCGACCATCACTGAAAGTACCTGTAACTGATTATTCTTTACAGCCAAATGAAGTGCTGTCTCCCCACGGGATGTCGTGAATTCAATAGACTCCGCACTAGCCAGAAGCAGCTCCCGAACAACATCAACTCTCCCTTTCACAGCTGCGCAATGGAGGGGAATTCTCTTCCCCCTCCCCCTCATTAGGCACAGCCCACAATCCACCTTCAGAAGCTCCTTCACAATATCCACATGCCCTGTTGCTGCCGCAATGTGCAGAGGGCTTAGACCGTCTGGATTCAGTTGGTACACAAACTCCTTGCCATGTCCATGCTTGAGTAACTCGATCACAAATTGTAGGTTCCCAGCCAGGCAGGCGATATGCAGTGGCGTGTCTCCCGTGGCCGTCGATATTCCTGCCCTTTTGAGTGTAAGGCTGTCTGATTTTATAGCTTCTTGCAGTAGTTCGACATTGCCTGTTTGAGCAGCTTCTTGGATCCTAGGTTCCATTTTTTTTAGTATGTTAGGCTCTCGATATGATAGGGGGCATTTACTTGGTTTTTTCTGTCGTAAATATATATGATTGAGGTGAGGTGGAGCTGAGGAGCTGATTATTCTGTGGTCATTGTTGATACATATATTTCTTTCTGTCTTGAAATGTGGCAAAGGTACTTTTGTCTGCCATTCGCTTACACTTACTGGCTTTTCCTTGAAAACTTTGCTTAGTGCTGGTTCAGTTCATCAAGGTACAAGGATGTTTCGGATTTCCAAATCTTGTGTTAGCCGTCGGATGAAGCTCTAGATTTCCCTATGTTGGCATATTCAAAATTGCCAAACCCTTTTGTTTCTATTTTTGGCATATGAGCAAGTTGCAGGATGTTGTTGCAGGTTCTGTTTGATACCATTTCGGGAAACCTGCCAACTGCAGAGTTGACCGAGTTACAGCTTTTGGATGCATCTTGTGTGTTCTACACTCAATGGAATAGGACAAATGAATATGCATTGGACAGAGGACGTGCAGGAGAAGCTGCATGTATTGTCCTCTCATACTGGATGGCATTAAATGACATTGAACACACTGCCCAAAATGTTGTCACAGTCAACTTTTGTCTTTTGTGTAATGTGTATATATTTGATATGAATGTTTGTTTGTATTCGTGGGTGAGCAACCAGAACTTAGAGAAGTATTCTCTCCACCTGTTAGAGTGTTGAGAGAGCTCATCCATGGAGGATTGAAGACGAGAAGAAGGATTCTTGGAGTCGAAGCCGAAGAAGATATTCATCCGGTAAACAACCTTATTCTTAGCTTGGTCGCTGGCCTGCTGGAGTTGTTGCGGTAGAGTAACAGCCAGTCCATGAGAGTTTGTAAAACTAAATGGAGCTTGGGTAGAAGATAGGTTGGGTAGTTCGGTTTGGTGTCTTATATGGTGTAAACCAAGTGTTTGGTTTAGTTAAGACTCCTGGATTGGAATCCCCCAGACGTAGGTTGGAAAACCGAACTGGGTAAACAAACTTGGTGTGTTGTTTTTCTTTTTGCACATATTCAGCCATCGATTCGTGCATGAACACACACCTCTGTTATAACCGCGAGACAACTACGTTGTAAAGCTGTGTTTACGTCGAACGTTTCACAGTTCCGCTGTGCAAGGTACTCGGAGGCGTTGGACCTCTTTCGTGCCCCTCTCCGCGACTTCCAACATCTGGTATCAGAGCAGCGTGCTCAATACCCCGAGTAGATCTGTCCGTGGTTCAAGATGAGTCGTGAAGTAATCTCGTCTATTCGTCCACCTGTGTTCGATGGGAACAACTACACCTACTGGAAAAACAGGATGGAGGCCTATCTGTTAACTCTTGGTGATGAAACTTGGGAAGCTGTAGAGCTTGGCTGGACTCCTCCAACCAAAGTTGTGCCTGGAGAAACTCAGAACGACCCCCCAACTATCATTCTAAAGTCGAAAAATGAGTGGACACCTGAAGAAAAAATTGCTGCTGGTGGAAATGCCAAAGCCGTAAATGCCATATTTGCTTCTGTCGATGAAGTTCAGTTTCGTGTCATCTCAAACTGCAAGAAAGCAAAAGATGCATGGAGAGCCTTGGAAAATGCATTCGAAGGGACTGCTGAAGTTAAAGAAACAAAACTCCAAAGGGTAGAAAGTATGTTCGAAGCCCTGAAAATGACTGATGATGAAACAATGTCTGAGTTCTACACTCGATTCAAAGATGTGGTAAATCAAGCATATGCTCTTGGCTTAGTATATGATGAACAAAGGCTGGTTCGAAAGATGCTGAGAAGTGTGAACAAAAAGTTCAAAATCAAAGTCTCTACTCTTGAGGATAAGAAGAAAACCAAGAACATGAATCTTGAAACATTGAATGGTATTTTCATGAATTGGGAGATGAATCATATTGAAGAAGAAAGTTCAAAAGGGATTGCTCTTACTGCCGAAGATCTGGAGCTTGTCGGATCTGATGAAGAAATGTCTCTGCTGTCCAAGAAGCTGTCTCGAATGATAAGTGAAAAGCGTGCTCGAAAATACTACAATTCTGGAAACAGAGGTCACTATGGTGGTAAAACAACTGGAGAACAACGAAAGTATCCAGAACACAAAAGTGTTGGTTACAACAAAGAAAATGGAGCTTATGATAAAAGCTACAAGAAGAAGTTCAACACTGCTTCTAGGCCAGAAAACTCAAGTGATCCGAAATGCTTTGCATGTGGCGGAGTTGGTCATGTGAAAGTGGAATGTGCTACATTCAAGAAGAAAGGTAAGCATGCATTTCAAGCTACCTGGAGTGATGAAGAAGGCAGTCAAGAATCTGAAGATGAAAGTGATAATGAAAGCATTGTTGCTTTTGTTGCCAAAGAAGGAGAATCTAGCAAAGGAAAAGAAAGTGTTCCTAAAGAAGAATGTAACAGCAACGACACAATCGAGATGGATATCTATGAGCTAATGGAAGCTTATGAGGAAGTTGTAGCTGAACAGAAAATTTGTGTTAAGAGAAACAAGGATTTGATCAACACAGTTTACCGTTTGGAAGCTCGAGTTGAAAAAGCTGAGGAAGTGAATCAAGAAATGTTCGAAATCAATGAAGGACTTCAGAAGGACGTCAAGCAGTTGAAAATGAAATGTGATGATCTGAGAGAAGAAAATGATAGACTCAGAAAAGGAAAAGACAAACTCGATGAAGTTTTATCAATTGGAAAGCCATTTGGAGATCATCGTGGGATTGGTTATCAAGAATCCATGAAGGTGAATCCAACTACCTTTGTGAAAGGAGGTTTGCTTCCTGATGTGAAGATTCCAGAGAAACCTGCAAAAGGGAAGAACACTGAAGGTCCCAAAGAAAACAGAAATGAGAGACAAAATCAAAATCGCAGAAGGAACAGATGTGTCAACGCGTCGTTACAACAGAAGAGTAACTGCAAATACTGTTTTCGATTTGGTCATGCTGAATCTCACTGTTTCAAGCTGGCTAGGGATTTGATGTCTGGAAAGAAGGTTAATTGGCCCTCAGATGAGCTGAAACAAAGGGTGAATTTCAGAATGGAATGGAGACCTAAGAAGAATCAATCTAAGATGATGTGCAATGTCATCCTATCTAGTCAAGAAGCAACAAATTCATCCCGATGGTATTTCGACAGTGGATGTTCACGCCATATGACGAATCAGAAGCATCTATTGAAGAACTATGTAGCTGACACTTGTGGAGAAGTAATATTTGGAGATGGAGCCAAAGGAAAAATTGTGGGCTATGGCTCTCTCGAAGCCAAAGGTATACCAAAGTTGACGAAGGTATATTTTGTTGAAGGCTTGAGTACTAATCTCATTAGTATCAGTCAGTTATGTGATGATGAGATGTTAGTGAAGTTCACTAAGGATGCTTGTGAGGTTTACAACAACAAGAAAGAGTGCGTGATGACTGGAAAAAGGTCAAGAAACAACTGCTACTTACTTGACAAACCAGTGGATGTTGCATTGATCTCAAAAGATGATGAAGCCCTTCTATGGCATACAAGACTTGGCCATGTCAACCAACAGAGCTTGATGAAGTTGAGCAAGCAAGGAATTATCAGAGGACTTCCAAAGTTTTCGAAGTTACCTAACTTCGTTTGTGGTGATTGTGCTCGAGGAAAGCAGAAACGTGTCTCTCATCCGCAGTCGGAACATCAAAGCAGCAAAACTTGTCTTGATTTGCTGCACATGGATTTGATGGGTCCAGTGGATACACCCAGTCTTGGAGGTAAAAAATACATACTTGTTTGCATTGATGATTTCTCGAGATATACATGGGTTGATTTTATGAAAGAGAAAGGAGATACTTTTGATATCTTTGAAAAATTGTGCAAAAGACTGATGAATGAAAAGAGATCAAAGGTTAATCGAATTCGTACCGATCATGGTAAGGAGTTTGAGAATCAAAAGTTTGATGGTTTTTGTTCTGATCTTGGAGTACTGCATGAGTATTCAGCCCCGAAGACCCCACAACAAAATGGAGTAGTCGAAAGGAAGAATCGAACACTTCAAGAAATGGCTCGATCAATGATGCAAGCCAAAGGTGTTGCAAAGTACTTATGGGCTGAGGCGATCAACACTGCATGTTATGTGATCAACAGAGTATATTTGAGACCCCACACTGAGATCACACCGTACGAGCTATGGAAAGGAAGAAAGCCGAATGTGTCATACTTTCACACATTTGGATGTCGATGCTATATTTTGAAGGATAGGAGTCATCTTCAAAAATTTGATGCAAGATCAGATGAAGGAATATTCATTGGTTATTCTCATAACAGCAAAGCTTATCGCGTTTATAACAAGAGGATGAAGAAAGTTATGGAATCGATGAATATAACTTTCGATGATTCTCGTGTGGAAAGGAAATCAGTCAATCAACATGATGATGAAGACTTGATACCTCTTCCTACTATTCAGAATCAGAATGTCTTACCTGAGGTTCAGAATCCTCTACCCCAGATTCCAGAAACAACTCGTGATGAGAGTTCGATGTTGTTCGATTGGAGTGAAGCAGATGAATCTACTGAAGTTACCACTGCTGCAGAACAACCTGGAGAATGTCAATCTGAAGCTGAAGTAAGGAGATATGGTTCAAGAATTTCTAAGAACCACCCTATTGATGCTGTCATTGGAGATCCACAAGAAGGTCGTCGAACCAGAGGAAAAAAAATTGATTTTAGAGAATTTGCTGGCATGAATTGCTTTGTGTCTAACATTGAGCCAAAGAACATTGAAGAAGCGCTGAAAGATGAATACTGGATCAGTGCCATGCAAGATGAGTTGAATCAGTTTGAAAGGAACAAAGTCTGGACGTTGGTAGAACGACCAGATGACATCAATGTGATTGGAACAAAGTGGATATTCAAGAACAAATCTGATGAGAAAGGGAATATCACAAGGAACAAAGCTCGGCTAGTTGCACAGGGATACACTCAGATTGAAGGAGTTGATTATGATGAAACGTTTGCCCCCGTTGCAAGAATTGAAGCCGTAAGGTTATTACTCTCAATCTCATGCTCACTTGGATTTTCTCTATTTCAAATGGATGTCAAAACCGCATTTTTGAATGG